AAAAAAAAAAAAAAAAGAGATGATAACAGGGGATTCCATAAATATAAAAGGACAGACAAGACCAGCATTCATCTACACACAGTAGGACAGGAGAAAAAGTGACCATAATTAATTTAAGTCTTCAAATTAAAAGGGAGAATGGGAGGAGAAACAAACCCCTAGTTTCTGTTTCCATTAAGACTTTAGACTTGGCTCGGTGTCTGTGGCTCAGGCAGCTAAGGCGCCAGCCACATACACCTAAGGTGGCGGGTTCGAATCCAGCCCGGACCTGCCAAACAACAATAATGGCTGCAACCAAAAAATAGCCGGACGTTGTGGCAGGTGCCTGTAGTCTCAGCTACTTGGGAGGCGGAGGCAGGAGACTCGCTTGAGCCCAGAAGTTGGAGGTTGCTGTGAGCAGTGAAGCCATAGCACTCTACCCAGGGGGACAGCTTGAGGCTCTGTCTCCAAAAAAAAAGACTTTAGACGTAAGGAAACCTCTTGAAGAATGAAATAAGTTAATTATTTAGGCCAATGAAAAAGATGTAAGATTTATTTTCCTGGAAGTAAGTTTAAGAGATGAGCTCAGTTTGCGAATGACCAAGGCATTTGGGATTGCAACTTGAGCAAGAAGGTTGCTACCATCTTCAGGAGCCTGCCTGTGCTCCATAGTCAAACCAAGTTAACATCCTTGGAGATCCAGCCTTGGTCCTGATCCAGCCTTAGGCCTGGACCATGCCAGAAGCCTTTCTTGAAGAGAAGATCCAAGAACTTAAGATACAGTCAGCCTCTCTGGGCTTGACCTAGGCCAGTTCTGTCTCCTACCTTAGCCAGTCTGGCAATCCCAACAATCCAAATTACTTTCCCTTTAGCCCTACACTGAGGTTTAGCACTAATATCTAAACCTAGGAGTCCTTTTGTCCTCATCTACCTTAGCTAATTTCCGAGAGTCCTGGCATAAGAACGCTATCTTTTCTGAGTCCATGACCTTCACTTCACCCACCTGGTCATATGCTTATGAGGCCAAAACAACTGGAAGGATAGGGCCTTGGGAGTGTCCTATTTTATGATATCCTATCATCAGGAACCCTTCTGACCCCTGGAAAAGAAATTTTGCTTTGGTCCTAGCCGTGCCAGGCTTTTCCACTTGGTTCTACATTGGTCCTGACTGCTATTGTCTTATACTCACAGAAAGTTGAGGAAGAGAGCGGCCAAAGCCTCGGCCCGACGCCCCAAGCCCTTTGGAAGGTAAAGGGGCCAAGAGCCCTGGGACCTCCTGCTCACCCCTGTGGTCCCAGGAGGTGGATGGATGGATAGCAACCTATCCATGTCCATCCCAGAACCCAAGCTGATAGATTAGGGATGTGACTGGAAAATGGCCATTCCCCGGGGGAGGTGAGAGGAGCAGGCATGGGGATGGGCAAGCTCCAATCTCAGGGAACACAAGGAGGAAATAATGTCAGATTGGCTGAGGAGAAGCTTTCTATCTTTATACTTGCCCCCAAGCAGTTAGACTGCAGCTTCAGCCACTTGTGTCCTCCTCCTCCTCCCCCATATCCCTTAGTTCACTGGCAACCTGTTTTCTCTCCTGCCTTCAGCTTTCCTCTTCCCTCCCTTCTCCAGCATCTGATTGACATAACTAGATTTCCCATCACTATTGCTGAACCCAGCAACATGAGTTCCTGACATCTAATTTGCAGTGTTCAGTAGTGTATGGGGAGAATCTGGCCATCCCTCATCGTGCCCCGTCCCACATGCTGCATGAAAGAGAAAAAGAACCTTCTAACTACTACCTCCACCAACTTCTTTCTCCTTTTTGCAGACCAGTCACCAAGCTTAAAGTCAAACCCAAACCCCGAGTGGGCAAGGGGCCAATCAAGAGGTAAATAAGGCTCAGGTTGGGTGGAGAGGAGGGAAGCACAGACTTATGAAGTGGGGGAGTCAGGCTATGGTCAGACCAAGAAAGAGCTGCCCAAGAGGTAGAGGAGCAGCAGCTGCTACAAATCACTGTCCAGATCATGTACCAAAATGTTAAGTAAGGCTGGCCTGGGGGTGTTGGTCTTGGGGAATTATGCTTGCTATAGGATTTGGGTGGGGGGGGAGTGTTCATCCAGTGACTACCCTTGTTTCACATGCTTATTTATCTCCTCACAGCAAGTTCTAGGAGATAATCTGGGGCTTTTCTCCTTCAGACACAATACTTCCTTCTCCCCCAAGAGGTTAAGTTTGCCTAAGGGATCAGTGTTCCCAGCCTAATTTTATTTGATTCTTTTTTTTGAGACAGAGCCTCAAGCTCTCCCCCTGGGTAGCGTGCCGTGGCATTACAGCTCACAGCAACCTCCAACTCCTGGCTCAAGCGAGTCTCCTGCCTCTGCCTCCCAAGTAGCTGGGACCACAGGCGCCCGCCACAACTCCCAGCTATTTTTTGGTTGCAGCTGTCATTGTTGTTTGGCGGGTCCGGGCTGGGGATTCGAACCCGCCACCTTAGGTGTACGTGGCTGGCGCCTTAGCCGGTTGAGCTATAGGCGCCGAGCCTATTTGATTCATTTTTAAAGATAAGTGCTACCAGCTTACTCCATGTGGAGTGAGACTTGGGTCTCCTTTGGAACCTTGACAAGAGATGGAATCAGATTGACAGCCCCGGCCTCTCTGGCTCAGTTCCATAGTTTTCCTCCTGGGCTCCTTCAGAACTCAAGGGAGTACAAAGCTTCCAGCCCCAGGGGTTACATCTAATTTGTCTTCTAAAGTTAGTTTGCATTTTAAAAGTCTCCCTTCTTAAGCAGGGTCTGAAATACAGAGAATTCCTCTCCTTTCTCCCGTACTCTCCTCTCCTCAGTAGGTCCAGTCTCAGCCCTGGTTCCCTGTTTCCCTCATTCACCTGCTTCTCCCTCTGGTGGTTTCAGAGGAGCTCAGAATATGGGGTTATTCTTGTAGTGCTCTTCTAGCTTAGGGTCATCTGTGTGCAGCAGGGCCACACTTCAGCCTTCCCTGACCCCCAAGTTAAAATAAACATTGCTGTTTTTATTTTGTTCATTGTAGGGAGGGAGAGGTTGTTTAGAAGATAGATATCTTTTCCCTGTGATGGCTTCTTTGACTTTTATTTTCAGCCAAATAGGACTTTGGGAGAGTGCCTGATCTCTTTGATCTTCAGGATCCATTTATCCTGAGCTTCCAAAGGTATTCTGTAAATTCTCCAGGCTTCCTTTGACTGCTTTCTTTATAAACTTTTCCTCCTCCCTGTGTCTTCCCAGCTAATGGCCTCAAGTCATCATATTTCTTCCTTCTTCTAACATCAAGTGATCGGGCACATTACTCAATAATTCACAACCACATCAACCTCATAGCCCTCTTCCACCTGGCTACGCCTCACCTGCTTCTCTTCCAGATGGCTTCTCTGGGCTCCACCCAGCTGTTCTGGGGAGAGTTCACCTCTCTCCTCCATATGCCTCACTTTAGTCTCTCATTTCATTGGTATTGATAAACAAGTCCCCCCATTCTCTCAGATATCTCTACAGTATTTCCAAGCTTTAACATCTCTAGTTCAGTCCCATTTTCCTGTCAGATGGCTGTGGGACATTTATGTTTAAATTGCAGGAGCATGGGCCACATCATTAAAAACTTACACAACTCAGCTCAGGTCCTGGGCTGCCTTTATTATTCATGTCCACCTTCCTTCTCTAGCCTTATTTCCTTCGAACTTTGGGTGGCCTGCATATATTAGCACCAGTCCTTCCTGTTTCCACCCTCTCTGGTCAATTCTTCCTATGACTGCCCATCATAATCTGTCGTACAGAGTCTCTGGCCTCTGAGAACCATTTAGATGGAAGACTTCCTCTGTCTTTTGCATCCTGACTCATTCAGTTATTTCAGTCTCAGCATAATAGCAGGATCTGTTAACCATGGCTACTCGGGCTTCCTGTTCACATCAGCCACTCCCTCTTGACCATCTCTTCCAGCTAGGGGTAGTACTAGCTTCCCATCCTATTTGCATGGCAATCTTAGCCTTGGACTCCTCTAGGGCCAGCAGGCTGAAACCACTTGGAACAAGGTTTCTGTCGGGGGAGTCAAGACTAGCCATTCTTCCTTTAGGGTTCTTCTGCTCCCGAAAGTCCCCAAGACCCATCTGTCTGGGTCGTCAAGGCTCTCTCAGCTTGGAAACTGAGCAATCCCTTTGTCTTTCCTCAGGGAAACATAGAAGGGGGGAAGAAGAGGATAAAGTGGTCATGAAAGGTTGGGAGGATGGTGGAGGTATGGAGTGGGAGGTGGATGTGGGGCTAAGAGGCAGGAGCATTGTTTTACCCTACTGTACCTCACTCCTGTCCCCTCAGGCTGCTGGCCCAGCGGCAGCAACACTCCTTTGGTCTGCATGGGGTGGCGTGCATGGGCACGGAGGCCCACCTCTCCCTCTGTTCCCTGGAGTTCTATCGTGCCAATGACACCACCAGGTGCCCTGGGGGGGCCCCTGCGGTGGTGAGCTGTGTGCCAGGCCCTCTCTACGTGGCATCCAGTGGCCAGAAGAAGCAGCAACAGTTGAAGCCTCAGGGGGAGGTGTGTGACAGTATCTATGGACCTTTCCCACTCAGGTGGAGAACCCCCTAGCCTGGCCACCCTCTGACTAAGCACAGCCTTGACCTTTGAGAAATGAGAGGAATCTTCCAGGGGGTGGGCCACAAACTTGATACTACCTACTCCCTCCCACCAAAATCTCATTCATCTCCCAGATCCACTTAGCCCTCTCTATGCTGATGTTTCCATTCACCTTTGTTGGGCACATCTTTCTCTTCTATAGGCTCATGTGCGTCTAAAAGGTGGAGCCCACCATGGAGAGGGCCGGGTGGAAGTCCTGAAGGCTGGCACGTGGGGCACAGTCTGTGACCGCAAGTGGGACCTGCAGGCAGCCAGCGTGGTGTGTCGGGAGCTGGGCTTCGGGAGTGCTCGAGAGGCTCTGAGTGGTGCTCGCATGGGGCAGGGTGAGGGGACATGGAGGTAGGAGGGCAAGGGAAGGGGAGAAAAGGCAAGGTACACACTCCTGGGGGTACTTTCCTTGGGCAGGCTAGGAGTCTCCTGGGCAGACAGTGAAGGCCTAGTTACAACCTCCTGATCTTTGACTTCTGACCCTAGGCATGGGTGCCATCCATGTGAGTGAAGTTCGATGCTCTGGACAGGAGCCCTCCCTCTGGAAGTGCCCTCACAGAAACATCACAGCTGATGATTGTTCTCATAGCCAGGATGCTGCAGTCCGATGCAACCTACCCTACATTGGGGTAGAGGCCAAGGTCAGTCATATATTCCACCTTGGTTCAGTCTCACCATCTCTCACCTTGCCCAGTCTGACCCCCAATCTGCAGTCTATTAGCCCTAGTCTAACTGCCCCAGGCCTTGCCATCCTGCAGCTCCCTCCTGACCCAAATCCAAAAGTTTTCGCCAACGCTTCCATCCTGTGTCACTACAGATCCGACTCAGTGGGGGTCGCAGCCGACATGAGGGGCGAGTCGAGGTGCAAGTAGGGGGACCTGGGTCCCTTCGCTGGGGCCTCATCTGTGGGGATGACTGGGGAACACTGGAGGCTATGGTGGTCTGTAGGCAACTCGGTCTGGGCTATGCCAACCACGGTCTACAGGTGAGTGGGAAGGAGAGGAGAGCCATAGCCATAGTTTCTAAAGCCTATGTTTGGGGCAGAGGACTGGAAATGAGTCCCTTGGTCCAGGAGGTTGGATCATGGGGCTTCACAGGAACCTCCATATGTCCCCAGGAGACATGGTACTGGGACTCCGGAAATATTACAGAGGTGGTAATGAGTGGAGTGCACTGCACAGGGAATGAGCTGTCTCTAGACCAGTGTGCCCATCATGGTACCCATATCACCTGCAAGAGGACAGGGACTCGCTTTACCGCTGGAGTCATCTGTTCTGAGAGTGAGTGAAGGGTACGGTGATGCAAGCCAGGAAAGGGGGAGACTCTAGACCACTAGAGGAAGCGGGTAATCCTTCTCTAAGAAAAACCAGTCTCACATACTCTAGGAAGGAATGGAAGCACCCCCATCTGTCCCTGCCCCTCAGCAGTAACTTCTAATACTCACCTTCCTTTCTCGGTACAGCTGCATCAGATCTGCTGCTGCACTCTGCATTAGTGCAAGAGACTGCCTACATTGAGGACCGGCCCCTGCACATGTTATACTGTGCTGCAGAAGAGAACTGCCTGGCCAGCTCAGCCCGCTCAGCCAACTGGCCCTATGGCCACCGGCGTCTGCTCCGATTCTCCTCCCAGATCCATAATCTGGGACGAGCTGACTTCAGGCCCAAGGCTGGACGCCACTCCTGGGTGTGGCATGAGTGCCATGGGTAAGAGGGTCAAGTAAAAGGGCAAGGTCATGGGGATGGATGGAGTAAACCTGCTAGGCGCAGAGCAAGCAACAGGAGTTCCCTTGTCCTCACAGGCACTACCATAGTATGGACATCTTCACGCACTATGATATCCTGACTCCAAATGGCACCAAAGTGGCTGAGGGCCACAAAGCTAGTTTCTGTCTAGAAGACACTGAGTGTCAGGAGGGTGAGTTGGGGCCTGTAGTAGACTACATCTCCATCACACAGCCCTTACCTTACACTAACACATCCCAATCCCTGCAGATGTCTCCAAGAGGTACGAATGTGCCAACTTTGGAGAGCAGGGCATCACCGTGGGTTGCTGGGATCTCTACCGGCATGACATCGACTGTCAATGGATTGACATCACAGATGTGAAGCCAGGAAACTACATTCTTCAGGTGCCTTCTGAGGCTTCCAGATGGCATGTGGGAGGAGTATTAAAGACACCTTTCAGTCTGAGGATTGCCCTTGGGTTAAGTAGCCTTTCTCTCACTCACAGGTAGTTATCAACCCAAATTTTGAAGTAGCAGAGAGTGATTTTACCAACAACGCAATGAAATGTAACTGCAAATATGATGGACATCGCATCTGGGTGCATAACTGCCACATTGGTATTTGATGGGAAGAGCAACCCAAGAAGACTGGGGGATGGAAGGGAAAGGCTTTCATTCTCTTTTCCCTAAATCATTTCTGTCTTCTGAACCAACTCTGATATCTCAGTCTCTCCACTTCTATCTACCCTCCCCTACAACAGGTCTGTTTTCCTGCCTCTAAACAGGGCACCTCCCAAAGTGCTTATCTACCCTGCAGGTGATGCCTTCAGTGAAGAGGCCAACAGGAGGTTTGAGCGCTACCCTGGCCAGACCAGCAACCAGATTGTCTAAAGTGCCACCACCCTCCTCTGCAAACCACCACTGGCCCCTAATGGCAGGGGCCTGAGGCTACCATTACCTCAGGAGCTTACCACAGAACCCCTGATGTCAGCAGACCCACCACACTCATCCAGCTGTGCACGATGGATGTGAAACTGTCATTCAGAAGTTATCACCCTCCTTCATAGGCCAGGTGTCAGTTTCTGTGGGCAAGCATGGGGCATCTTTGCTCCCAGGCCCAGTACCGAGCAGAGCAAACCACAAAGAGCAGCACCTGACCAACTGCCCAGAACAGAAGGCAAGAGTTCATTTTCTTGACTAGGGAGGTCAGGATGGACAGCTCCAGTATCGCTCCTAAGTTCAAGGGGATACAGCTTTACCTCTAGCTTTTTGGTGGGGGGAAACATCCAGCCCCCTCTTTCATTTTTGACTATAACATGTTGCTAGGTATAATTTTATTTTATATAAAAAGTGTTTTTGCAATTCTTCAGAGCCCAGGGATTGCTGCTGGGGGGTGAAGGGACCTGCCCCCCACTGGTTCATTTAATCCTCTGCCCACGGGCCCTCAGAGCCAAAGCTAGGAAGGCAAGGAGGAAATTAGAGCAGAAGCCTCATATTCTTGCTGATTCATTCATTCTGTGACCTCAGGAGTCACATACAAGGTCAGTGTTTCTGATCCCCGTCGGATCTGCACTGCCAGCTGGGATTGGGTTCGAACAGCTTCATAAACATCTTCAGCATTTTGTACTAGCTGTTCCCCAATGGCCAAAATCACATCACCGGGCCGTAGACCAGCCCTATGGAGAAAGATGGGAGAGAAAGGAAGGAACAGACAGCCCAATTGAAGGACACATGCATTCCTCACTCATCTTCATCTCACAGTGCAACTTCTCCCTTACCGGTGTGCAGGAGAGCCCAGGATGACTTTGTGGATGAGTACACCATGTTGAACATCAGGAAAGCTTGGTTCTCGAAGCTGTAGTTCAGCAAGGATGCTGAAAGTACACAGATCACTCTCCCCATCTTGAGTTTATCTCAAGTTTCTCATCAATACACAGATATGTAGACAGGACATAACACTAGGTTCTACAGATACAAATGCAATTAACTTTCTGCCTGCTAGCTGTTAAAAAATAGAATATATACATAAAAGATAACTAATTCAAATGATACACAGTGTTAAGTCAAAAACACTACTGTCATTCTAGAATACTAAGCAAGGCTTTAAGGAGGGAGTAGAACTTAAACTGAGCCTAAAAGGATGGGTCTGACATTAATTATATAAAATAAGAATAGCATAAACAAAAAAACATGAGAGTAGGAAATTAGGAGATCAGCTAGTCTAGGACAGAGTATTCATGTAGGAAGTAATAGCAGCCAGGTCTGGAAGGTTGATTTAGAGACAGACAGAAAGTAGTCCTTAAATGCCAGGTTAATAGGTTGAAGGCTTTAAATCAAAGCAGTAACAGGAGGACATCTGGTGACAATGCAAAATGAAGTATGGTAAGAAAGTCAGGATTATGAGAGGGGTCAGCTCTTGTGAGCTCCAAGTGTGTGGCAGCACATTTTAGATAACCTAAAGACAAATGAGAACAAAGTTCAAGAGCGGTGCCAGTTACCCACCAGTGATTACTCTGGTCACACAACATGTCACTACCTCTAATGCTCATACCTGGGAGTCAGAGTCAGCATCATCACCCCAATGTAGCGGCGCTGGGAATCACTGATTCCAAACCAGGAACCTATGATAGAGGAACAAATAAGCCCACCCAGCTACATCCTTTCTTTCCCTCCTTTTTTTCCCAATACATCATACTCCAGCAAGGCCCAATGAATACCCTATCTTCCCCCACTTCAAAGGCACCCCTTTCTCCCTAAGTTAGGCTCACTCTTCTTTTCCCCACGATGCAGAAACTCTCGAAGGCGATCAGAAGGGATGGCAAAGGAGATTCCAGCTGTGACCTTCATGGTGTTCACTCCAATCACTTCCCCATCCTGCAAGGATACAGCCCCCTATTCCTTAGCCCAAACAGATGGTAGGGAATGAGGTCACCTGAACAAGAGTATCAGTGAGAGTTGGGGAAATCTGGTCAGTTGGTTACTGGAAGATAGCCAACAAAAGATTGCTCAGAAACTTGGCCAAACATCCTTGAATTAGGGAAAACCCACCCTTCTCACACTGACCTGGGACAGGAATTATTGGAAGGAAGTATATCCCACTTACCAGGTTAACCAGGGGACCTCCAGAGTTTCCAAACTGCAGAAAAGGAGAAAATGTGCACATGATACCGGGATTCTCTCTTTTCCCAGCCCATGAATGAATGGCTACATCTGTGCAGCCCAACCTCCACTTATAGATAGGTTCATCTACTACTTATGAGTTGGTGCCCTTTCCCCATTCCCCCAATCTGGTTTGTCATTTCTCTCATATTAAGACGCACATCAATAGCTGCATCAGTCTGAATGTATTCCACATTGGTCTGGGGAAGTCCTAGGTCTCTAGCTGGACGCTGAGCAGAGCTAACAATGCCGGATGTGATCGTGTTCTGCAGTGCAAAGGGACTTCCCATGGCAACAACAAACTCCCCTTGACGGACATCGGCTGAGCGTCCCAAAGGCAGTGTGGGGAGAGGCTCCTATAGTAGAATAGGTAGGAGAGACCTGTCATCTGGGGATGGGAGAAAATAACCAGCTCCCACCAGACTTGGCCTACCCTGCCCCCTACCTTGGTCTGAATCCTAAGCGTGGCGATATCAGCCACAGGATCCACAGCAGTGACCATGGCCTCATATGTGTCGCCGCTAGGCAGTCTCACACGGACTCTGCGCCTATCAGCCACCACATGAGCGTTGGTGACAATGAGCCCATCAGCAGCCACCACGAATCCTGAGCCATTTGAAATAGGGACTTCACGGCCAGAGAAAGGGTGCCTAGGATGCGGGAAAACATGGATATGAGGAGGCTCTCCTGCTCGCCCGCCCTCCGGCCCTTGGGTTTGGTACCTCCCGGTTACCCCACCATTACCGGTCCAAGATCTCGATATAGACCACGGCAGGTGCTGTCTTCTCCACGACATCTGCGATGAAGTTGTACTGGCTCCGGGGAGAGGCTGGGGGCGGGCCGGGGACCGCAGCAAGGACAGCCGGGGGACCCCGCCCCCCGCCCCACAACAACAACAGTACTGCACCCCCAGCGCCCAGAGCCACCGCCAGCCAAGCGCGTGGACGGATTCCGGGGGTCCCTGAGGCCTCACGACTCCGGGGATCTGAGGTTTTCGCAGTCAGTCGTTCCTGGGAATCCGGAGTCCCAGAAGTCAGACATGCCCGGGGTTCAGGGACCCCCACGGACACCCGGGCCCGGAAACTGGGGGTCCCAGAAATCACCCGGGGGTCAGAACTTCTTGACGTCAGCAGGGCCCGGAGGTCAGGGGTCAACGAGGGTCCCTTCCCCAAAAAAGTTCCCCATAAAGCCCGCCATCCCGGGAGGCTGCAGCCTGCACCCCGCCCCGCCCTCAACGCAGCCATCAGCTCCGCCTTGGCTGCCTCCTCGCCCGCCCTACTCAGAGGCGGCGCTCAGGACGCGAGCAGGCGGACAGTAGGACGCGTAGCACGCCGGTACCTGAAGTCCTCAACAAGTGCACGCCGGGACCCAGGGTTCCGGGAGGCCGGCTCCTCCTCCGCTCCGCGAATGCCGGGAATTGTGGTCCCGGCGGGACTCGAGTTATGAGGCGGCCCATGCGGCCGCGGGGCATGCTGGGACGGCTAGCCCTTCCGGGGCGCCTCTGGACTTCGGGTTTTGGCACCCTGGACTGATTACCAAATACTCCGCCTTCCCAGGAGCCCCAGCGGCCGAGTGCGAAGATGGCGGTGACGGCGGCGGTCGGGCACTCCTGAGGCAGCTGTGATGGAGGTTTCCCCAGAGCCGGGGCCGGAGCGCCTCTTTGACTCGCACCGGTAAGAGTCCCGGCGGGAAGAAGCCGGCTCTGGCGTCCTCTTGGCCTTCGGCGCCCCATCACCTCTCCTCTCGCCCCCAGGCTCCCGGGTGACGGCTTCCTGCTCCTCGCGCTGCTGCTCTACGCGCCAGTGGGATTCTGCCTCCTGGTCCTGCGCCTCTTTCTCGGAATCCACGTCTTCCTGGTCAGCTGCGCGCTGCCAGATAGCGTCCTTCGCAGGTTCCGACTCCGGCGCTCGGGGAGTGAGTGTCAGGGCCGGGACCGGCCCGAGGCCACACAGTTACCAACGCCTGTACCCCCAGGTTCGTGGTTCGGACCATGTGTGCGGTGCTGGGGCTCGTGGCTCGGCAGGAGGACTCTGGACTCCGGGATCACCGTGTCAGGGTCCTCATTTCCAACCACGTGACGCCTTTCGACCACAACATAGTCAATCTGCTTACCACATGTAGCACCGTGAGTGAGGGCGAGGCTGAGAACGCCTAGGGGTGGTTTCTCCCCACTTGGGTTTCCCATGGGGGATGCTGAGCCTTGCCCCCCTCCTCTACCCCACATGTCAGTTTTTCTCACTTTCCTCCATTTTTTTCTTCTTGCTTTCTCTCCTTCTCATTCCCAGCCTCTACTCAATAGTCCCCCCAGCTTTGTGTGCTGGTCTCGGGGCTTCATGGAGATGGATGGGCGAGGGGAGCTAGTGGAGTCACTCAAGAGATTGTGTGCTTCCACGAGGCTTCCTCCCACCCCTCTGCTGCTATTCCCCGAGGAAGAGGCCACCAATGGTCGGGAGGGGCTCCTGCACTTCAGGTGGGTGACCACAGGTATTGGGTGCCAACTGGGTAGGTAGTCAAGTTTCTGGGCCGTTTGGTTTTAACAACCTTCCTCAGCCCCTGACCCCCTCCATCCCTAGTACATTTCCTTTCTGTCCACTTGGTTCTTTCCCCCTGAATCCTGTTTTCCCCATTTATCTACTTGTACAGTTTGACAATTACCTGTTTTAAAATAGGTATGAGCTGCTAACTGGTCTGGCTGGATTCCCATCCCACTCTGTCCTTCTTCTCCTAGTTCTTGGCCATTTTCTATCCAAGATGTGGTACAACCTCTTACACTGCAAGTGCAGAGACCCCTGGTCTCTGTGGTGAGTGTGTGTGGGATAGGGAATCTCTGGGGCTTGGAGGGGAAGTTTCTCACCCCTGGCCCTGGCTTAGGCCTCACTTTGTACCCTCCCCTCAGACGGTGTCAGATGCCTCCTGGGTCTCAGAACTGCTGTGGTCACTTTTCGTCCCTTTCACGGTGTATCAAGTAAGGTATTAACTGTCCTCACTTTTTGGTGGCTGGGAAGAGGCTCATCTCAAGGTCAAGTGGCCTTTGCCCTGTCCAATTGTAGATCTTCTAATGTCAAGGTTCTACTATAGAGGCAACACAAATCATTTATTATCTCCCTGTACTTACCATGAAAAGAGGTACCAAAGTGGGGAAAGGTACCCCAGGTGACACCCTGGACTGATGTGGGTGTCCCCCACATCAACCTGGATTCCAGGTG